GCTATGCAAGGGGCTCTGGTGCTTGCACCAGTCCTCAACGGCTTAAATCAAATCTTCTCGGCTCAGCTGCCGAGGTTTGCAAGTGGCCAGTGAGAGTAGCTCCGTCCTGCCACATGAGGCCTCCGTCCTGCCAGGTGGTGCCACGAAGTCGAGGGTTGACTGGGATGACTAGATACGTCGGTCATCTCAACGTCCAGGGTTCGTTTGGATGACGTCTTGCAACCGTACAAATCAGGCATCCCACCCCAATGCTTACACCGTTGCTTACACCAAGTTTGCTACGTTCGTACATCGATGGTGGGTTTGAAAAAATGATATTCCCGCACCATCATTTTGCAGCAGCGTTCGCCCCGAACAAGCTGCGTCGATGAACATATCTCTGGAACGCTCATTTGGCTGAGGTCCTCACTCTTTCTCAGATGACAGTGACCTTTTCCCAGGTGTTTGGTTTACACCCGCCTGGAGCTGCCAGCAGCTTTTCTAGGAAGAAAGACGCTGGCAGCAACTCAAACCCTTGGAAGGGGGGGCAGATGGGGGCATGATCAATGGAAGGCGTGTGTGTGCGTGTGGATATTTATGATGGCTCATCATGGTAGTTTCTCATGTATCGTAAACCTTTCTGGTCCAACTATTGTGAAATGCTGCGAGTGTTGCCCTTGCCATGCGCCTGACGCAGGGCTTCAACGCCTATGAGAAACAACCGGGCGATGTAGTACTGCGCATGCTGGAAAAGATCGCCAGATCCTTAGACTGAGGGCACAAAAACACAAGCCTTCTGCAAGAACGATGGATGTGTGTTTTTGTAGGATGTGCCGATCGGTACAATGACAAAAAAGTGTTCCAGAACCTGAACTCAGGTCTCAAATTCGACTTTTGTTTTGACTTTTGTTCGCCTCAAATCGCCTCAAAATGCTTTGGAATTCGGAACTCGATGTTTGGTTGAACATTTGGATGCACAGGTCGCTGACCTGGCCCAGGACAGCCAGGCGCGGACGTGCAAGGACTTCATCTCAACATCTCAGGATGCAGTGACTCTAGACGCTAAACTGCTGCTGATATTTTGCTGGTGTGTTGTGAATTCATTTCGATCGAACAAGAACTGTAATTTCTGACCAATTTGGATAGTCCCTTGAATTGCTGCTTTTTGGTCCGTCGATGGATTCGCAACCTGCCGGCGGGTCGTCCATCTCTGTTGTACCCTTCGACACCCATCTCTTCGACCGAGACGACTTGATCACCTTGAAGGACCAGATGGCGCACCCCAAGAGGTCCTGAAGAGATGGGGCGGGGTGTATATAGATGTATATAGTATAAACCACCAAACTCAGAGATTGTGCCATGGCGCCCTTGACTCTCAATCCACTATGATTGTTGTTTGCCCCGAAAGGTCCTTCCCTCGTCCGCGAGGCCTCAGAGAAGCAAGAGAAAGACGCTCAGTCTGAGTATGAGCGCAGTGCCAAGGCCCAACGGCGCGCATCGCAGCAGCCGGTGGAGCGGGTCCAGTTGCAAGTTTGGATACAGTACATTTTTGGAGGCAAAGTAGGAGCAGACTTCCTTGGGGGGTAGCATCTCTTCTATCAGGAGAGACGTATCGCTGTACATCTACTGAATTCATCTATAAATCACAGCGGAAGTATTACATTTACATATGAACTAACTATTTTTGATATCATGTTTATATAGTTGGTGATTGGTGATAGTCCGTTTTCTTCTTAGTTCCTAGGTGCTTGTTTTGGCTGCCAGGGAAAACTGTTTCCTGCAGCTTGATCATTTGCAAGAGGATGATTCCAACTCGAGATCTTTGGTACTAATTAGTTGAGATCAACAACAGGATCTTAAAACGAACTTGGACATTGTGGTTGTGGTTTTACCAAAGGTTCTTCGCATTTGTTCACCCACACTGGGTTCAAAGATGCTTAAGTCTTCGTCTGGAGCTTCAACCAACATCCCGCATGTATCATCTCAAAAAGCAGCATCCAAACCTGAACGAACATTCTGAAGAGCCGGGTTCATCCATTCAATGGATGAAAACGTACGTTTCTCAGCTTACAGGATGCTCAAGAAGCTCGAGAGGAAGCAACCCGGAGCTTGGCCGAGAAGAGTGGAGTCCGGGCCCTGTCCCGGGTCGTTCGGGGGTCAATCGTTGTTTTTTGGGTGGAGGGAAGATGCTTTCCAGCGGAAACACCGGGATGTTTCCGTTTTTAGGCAGCTGGCGGCCTGACCCAGAATCATTCTGAAGCACTTGTGATTTTGAGGTGAAAGAAAGAGTTGGTGAGGGTCGGTGGGGAGTCATGACTGGATATAAGGACCATGGTCGTTGGTGAGGGTCGTTGGGTGTGCTCAGCATGCTCACATGAAAGAGCGTAGTTCGTTTGTGACCCATCGTTTTCAGGCAGATGCTTGCTCAATGCTCCATCCTCTTGCAAACTCCAAAAGTAACAAGTCAATGCTTGGGGCCCTGATTGCACCACCTTCTGGCGGATTCCTTGACTCTTTTCCAAGGCGCTTAGCTTTTTGGGACCTTGCACACAGCGCTTGTATGCTTTTGTTGCAGCCACAAGCGCAAAAACGTGATGATCATCAGTCACATTCAGACCTGCACATCATTAGCATGGACCCACCACTTATGCTGTGTCAACAAAACAAGTGGCACCCATCTACCCACCCAAGACTTGTTCATCCAGGTTGATGTGAATGGTGAATGTTCTACACATCACAATGTTACTCGCAGCACAGCCCTTGCACACTTTCCACATGACAAACACCTTGCCTTTGCCCATTGCCATAGCCACTGTTTTGGCCGAGGTCAAGGCGGGCTTAGAGAAGCGCGCTTTAGGCTTGCAGCTGCCCGGTGCCCTGGTGACCGAGACATTTTGACCTCGCCAAGACTGTCACCCTGTGCTTGACCCAAGACTGTCACCCTGTCATTCTTGTTCCCAACTTGCTCACTTGGTCAATCACAGAGACCCTGCTTCTTGTTATACAACCAGAGGACTCCCTTCTTGGCAGTTTTCCATTGCCGCACCCAGTGCGGGCCAATGCGCCAAAGCGCGCCAAAGCGGGCAAAGCGGCGTGACGATGCTGCCTCCCGAGGAAGCAGCAAAGCAATGTTGACAGCAAGGCCAATGTGGAGAAGTATTTGAAGGCCAGAGAGAGACGGACCTAGTGTAGACAGAGCGAGAGAGTCACTGCTTTGAAGGACATCACGGGTTCCACTTTTTTTTTTTCTGAAGATCACAGGGACCAAAGCATATACAGTATTTTAAAGTCATGTATAATCAATATCTCAACATCATGATAATCAACATGTTGACCAAGCCATACCGTGGTTTCCCACGGTGCAACCTTGGTGAAACCTCATGTGAGCGACGGAGACTTGACATGCGAAGACAAGCGATGACATGAGAGGGGTCCGGTAGGGTTTTTGTGCACCAAACACCCTGCAAAACGAAAAATGGTCCACCAAAATTAAGCGATCACCCCAGTGTTGTAATAGGATCATAGGATCATGCGACGAACTGAAAACAGTGTAAAACGATAAGGTTCAGCTAAAACCGATGACGTCCATTTTTAGTTGAAGAAGAATGAGGAGTTTTGACCGTCCTTCATGTGTTTTTTCCAGTTTGGCCAGATGTTTCAAGTGATACATGAGGTTCCATGTTGCGGTTTAAATTGGTTTAATCATAGATTCAATCAACATGTGCAATGGCAATAAGGAACTCAAACATGAAGATTCACTATGGAGACCTTACTGACCATCAGCACCATCATCATGCAGTATTTCCTGGCGGTGCAGCCAAGCACCTTTGGAGGAGGTGGAAGTGGGAGGTGGCATGCAGGTGAACCCATAGCTAGGGAACAGCCCGGCTAATGGAGCGTAGACAAGGACTTTCCTGTGACTTCCTTCTTGTGCATTTGAACCAGACAAATGCTTCTGTCTTGTGGTAGGATGCTTTATACCCAGACACGGACTGGACGGACCGGACGGTTACATTGGCCCCTCTTTTGAAGCAGATAGGTTTGTATAGGTTTGTATAGTTAGAATAGGGAGACCCCCAAATAGACCAGGTCAGCCCCTTTGGTTAGTCTCCCTATTTTTTAGAACCAATTATAGTTCAGTCCTCGATGATCTTCCGTGAGGCCTTGCAGGAGGATTGTGGGGAGCTGGTGAAGAATTACCAGGCGCCGCGGTGGCTCGTCCCTTCCGGGCGTTCCGGGCCTTGCCCATGGGAGCACACAGCGGCCGTGCTGAAACTGGTCCAGATGAGCTATGAGTTTTTTGTGGCGAGAAGAGAGAGAGAGAGAGAAAACGCATATATTTTTGCTGACCAGACCTGAACCAAGATGGTGTGACACTTGGATGACCTGTCCAAAGCTCTCTTATAGTCTCAGTCTCTCAGTTTGTGCACGAAGGAACACATCTTTCCCACCAGTGGCCGTCGGCAACGCATGACCACATGAGTCGGCTGAGTCGGCTGAGTCGGCTGAACGCTTCCCCCGGGTCGAACAGGGGACCAGATCGGCCTGCGACTCCGGAGATCGAAACGGAGCTGTTTCCGGTCAAACACGGTCTGTCTCGAGACACGCACCAGGGAGTAGACAGCTGACAGACGGCCAGACTGCTTTGAGGAAGCTGCGCCACGTTCGATGAAGTTCCATCCACACCTGGATCTTGAAAGAAGATGAAAGAAGTACAGGGATTGATCAGTCAGTAATCACTCTGAAATCCTTCTTAAACCCGCTGATATAGCCCTGGGATTGATATAGCCCTGGGCGGTGGGTGATGAAGCTGTGGGTAGCACAGGTATGCTTGTTCATGTGGTTCTCCTGACCGCCTGGCCGGCAACGTGCACCGCCTGGGCTCAGCATGCGTTGAAGCTCCAAGAGTCCATGGGGTTTCCTTAGCAACTCAGCAGTTCACTCGGAAGCAGAACACGGTTTTTGACACGTTGTCTTTGACAAGACCCTCAACACCTCTCATGTGAGGCTTGCTCAGTCTCCCCATGCAACGCATTCATACGCTGTCGGCTGCAGTGACCTGGTTTTCGCCATGTCGGAGCCTGGTCTCCCTGAAGGGCATGGGGCAGTGGCACCACGTGGGGTGGCCGTTTTCGTGGAGGGTGAGACAACAACCTACGGAGCGCCTGAACGTGTCGCCGATGAGGCGGGTTGGCTGCCTTCGCGATGGCCGGTGTCAGGATGATGTGGAAGCAATGTGACAATGTGGACGGGGGCAAGTGACCCAAAGCAATTGGGCCTGTACTACTGGTACATACTGGTACAACCAGTTGGGTGTCACTAATATATATATATATAGTGCATATTATATATGCAGTATAATTATAAGTAATTGTGCTACTTCAACCAATATAATTGATGACATAAGCAATGTGTCTAGTTCATGCTGCTTTTGGGGCTACATGGGTTCATGCAAAGGGTCAGTTCATGAGCCCAAAGGCTGAGCATGAGCCCAAAGGCTGACCCCAAACGATGATCACTGGCGCCATTCGGCTTGAGGACCACCGCCTTTGACCACCGCTACTTCGTATAGGACATCTCAAACCCATAGTATAGCACCTCACGTTGAGATCGAACGAGAGCAGGCTGAAGAAGTGGATGATCCTGAAGAGGGTGAGACCGTGGCTGAGAGAGAAGAACGAGAGGAGCTGGGATGTTCAGCAGAGATTCTGTTAGCATTCCCAGGAAGTCCAAGTGCATAAGACCCTGGTCTCTTGTGATAGACTAGGGGATACTTCCGAGTTGATACCCGGATCCACACACCCTTTGAACATCTTTGAACGGTGATGTGTTCATAGGCTTTGAGGGTCCGTGTACAGTACGTACGGACCTTCCGAGAAGGCGACAGTGGATCCGTCTTCGGTGTGTGAACCTACTGGGGTCGATGGTTCAAAGGCTCTTCATCAACAAGCTGAAGAGCTGGGTGTCCCATGCTTGGACGGAGGCGCGCTGATGTTCCCAGCTTTGGGAACCCCCAATTCCCAGAGCCGACCAATGGGATCGGAATAAATATGAATAAATGTCTTATTTACATTATATATACACCACCCCAATGTATACAGGTAAATGGTAAATATGTCAGTCCCATGGAGTGTTTGCGATTTGTATTGGTGCTCGGACTCGTTTCGGTGAAGCGACCTCCGCGCAGGAGCGCTATCGGCAGCGGCTGATTGAGTTGATGCGGAAGATGGATTTAACCTCGCAGCAAATCCAAAGAGTCGTTTGACATGAGTTGAGGATGGTGATAGTTTAGAGATCTTCCCCCAGTTCCTATCGCCTCAAGGAGATGCAACATGATAAAGAGTTGATCATTTGATCATCTTAAGTATTTGGCATATGAAAGTTAGAACTGGTCCTTTCTAGTTGGCGATATCTATCTGCAACCATCCAACCGGGCCCCAAACGGTCCCATGAAAACATGGCGACCGATCTCCTACTCCAAGAGGCTCCACCGCGACCTCGCGGTGCTTGGGGTGGGTGCCATGTGGTTGTTTCACATGCTGAAGCGATGACTCGGTTTGCTCGAGCCCTGAGGTGACGCCGTGCCACAATCTCCTGAGTTGCTTCGGGCGCATTCTCCGCACGGCGCAAGTGCGCGATTGGTATCACCTCAGTAAACCTTCAGCCACCTGGCAGAAATATCCTTGGACCCAAAGCTGGCAGAATGAATAGTAAGGGCTCCGCCCTGGTGCCGCCGACCCCTTTTCTTGGGGGAGGAGCGCGGCGCTGCTGCTGCGTGGTGCTGCTGGCTGCTATAACCATACACCGGCTATTTCCTCAAGACACTCTATTCTTGACACCTTTTACCAGTGCTTATCCTACACTACGGATGCCCTAGTGTATGCACAGTCCTTGTGATGCTTACCCCTCGTTCCGGCTGAAGGCGTAGATAAGCGGGTGGTAAATTGACGCCCCAGATTTGCCATAACCATAAGCCGGCTATTTCCTCAAGACACTCCAGTCCTTATACCTTTTACCAGTGCTTAGCCTACACTACGGACGCCCTACTGTATGTGCAGTCCGTATGATGTCAGAAATGCTTACCCCTCTTTCCGACTCAAGGCATACAAAAGCGGCGGGTAAATTTACCCCCCAAATTTGCGGAGCACGCATCTTCGTGCTTGCCAACGAGTGCACCCGGGTTGTCACAGGGCAGCGCCTGTAGCGAAGCGTGCAAAACACGTGTCGGTGAGCATCCAAGTGCGCACAGACCACAAACTGCAAGGGGAACAGGACCCTGACAAGGGTCGAGCTCCAACCGAAACCCAAACGGGCACAAACGCCAAGGCCAGGACAGTGCCGGCGCCACCACGAAACAGTGTTACAGAGGGCGGGCCTACAACGCACGACGATCAACGCGCAGACGCGCAGGCCAGACCGCAACAAGATACGCAGGGCACAGCGAGAGCCGCGAAGGAGACAAACGCAGCGCCGGCAAAGTTGCCTGGACGGAAAGCCGGCAAGGAAATGTTCCAATATGCGTGTCCTTTTTGTGCGGCGTCGGTGAGCAGCAGCGTGCGCACAGGCCAAATAGATCGCCGCCGTGCATGCGGGCATCGTTTTCGTGTCAAAGACGGAGACGTTGCCGCGAGGAAGTGTGACTACTGGGATGTCCCGCGAAGATCTTATTGGTTAGAAGAGTTATAAATGGTTAGATAAGTTCCAATAAGCTAGTTATAAGCTCTAGTAAGTAGGTTATAACTTCTAGTAATGGTTTATAACCTCTCTAACCACTTCTAGGTTTGAGGCTAACCTCTATAAACTTTATATCGTTTATCTAACCTCTTAGCTTGTTTGTTAGAGGTTAGCCACTTCAACAAACCCTAGGTTACTAAGTGGTTAGCTGATTTGCTAACCATTTAGCTTAAGGGTTAGCTGGTAAAGCTCTCCGAGGACTGAAAAATGTGGTGTCGGTGACTTTTTGGTCACCAAGTCTCACCACAACATGTTTGAATGTTTTTGAATTGAAAAAGTTATATGTTTCAGTTGAAATATGTTGTATTTGCATATGATTTGTTTTTTGAAAAATCTACAGTGTACACATAGTAATTTTGCATTTTCATTGTTGCATTTTCATTAATTGTGGGTTCTTGCCATGTCATGTCCAAGCCTGGTGGGTTTACCCTGTAGAGAGCATGCATGTTTAGTTGTGATTTGCCATGTTCATTTGAAATTTCACACTTTCATTTTTTGACTTTTTGGTCAC